CGCCGTAGCGGTATCTTCAGCGCAGCAGGTAAGAACCCAATCTCTCTCTCTCAGTCTTCTTCCTCGTCGTGGTCTCTGACTGCAGGTGCGCGGCGGCTTCTTCAACCCAAGGTCCGATATGGCGGACTGCCTCCTTCGGTCACCACCTCAGCCATGGCGCATCGGCCCTGCACACGACGGCGCGCGTGGAACAGCGGGTACCAGCTCCGATACCAGTGCAATCAGACTCGACTCATTCACACTTCTCATGCACGTGAACAGCAGAACAACAGATTGGCGCCATGCGCCCACACATAACTCAAAGATATGGCTTCCAAGTAACAGTTCGCTTCCACTGGCTATGGCGACTGTGCGCCTTAAACAACTCACTGTTCACACTCCAGATCACCCTGGATGTCCCACTCGCGATACTCAGAACACACACAGTACACACACACAGTACACACACTCTGCACCCTACACTAAGCTATGGCAGCTATGGCTCTCTCTCTCTCTCTCTCTCTCTCTCTCTCTCTCTCTCTCAGTCTTCTTCTTCGTCGTGGTCTCCTTGCAGGTGCGCGCACAAGCGGTTATCGGGTAGCTGAAAATTGAGGAATGAAAATTATGAAGTGAGAGTTTTGGGCAGTATGAAAATCCTGAATGGTCCTGAAGTGGTGAAAGGTCCGAAGACCCTGAAAACCACCTGTTTAGGCAGGCTGCATCCTGAAGTGGTGAAGGGTGTCCTGAAGTGGTCGAGTGAGAGTTTTGGGCAGTCTGAAAATCCTGAATGGTCCCGAAGTGGTGAAAGGCCCGAAGACCATGAAAACCACACTTCACCACTTGAGGATGCAGCCTGCTTAAACAGGTGGTTTTCAGGGTCTTCGGAGCTTTCACCACTTCAGGACCATTCAAAATTTTCAGACCTGAATGACCCTGAAGTGGTGAAAGGTCCGAAGACCCTGAAAACCACTTGTTCAGGCAGACTGCATCCTGAAGTGGTGAAGGGTGTCCTGAAGTGGTGATGAAAAATACGACTGTTGTTAACCTTCTCTCGGTGCTCGGCGGCTTCTCCAACCTCAGGTCCGCTATGGCGGACTGTGTCCCTCGGCGGCCACCTCTGCTATGGCACTTCAGGCCCTGCACACGACTTCGCGCATGGAATAGCAGGTACCAGCTCCGATACCAATGCAATCAGACTCGTCTCATTCACACTTTTCATGCATGTGAACAGCAACACAACAAACTGGCGACATGCGCCCAAATAGTACTCAGAGATATGGCTTCCAGGTAAGAGTTCACTTCCACTGGTTATGGCGACTCAGCGCCCAACAATCCACTGTTCACACACACTGGATCACCCTGGATATCCCACACGCGTCACTCTGCACCCTCACACAACATACACACACACACTGACTACAGCTATGGCAACGCTAGCTGCCTCTACCCTAGCGCTATGGCTACACTTCATCACTCTCGCCCACTTCGACTTCGGGCCTGCTGCAGACCTCCTCGAACAAGACGCTGAGACAACGCTTCCGCATGGCTTCCACAGGAATGAATGAATGGTTGTGCGCGGCCTCTTGATTTATACTTCTGTGACTCGTTGGTCTGCCCTGTTTCCCTGGCCCACGGTGTACACAGTCCCAAATGGTACTAGCTTGACTGGACTGGGACTGCTGACTCTGCATGGTGGACTCCCACCACTTGCCCACTTACCTGGACCTACAGTGGGCTGACTCCGAAAGGCCACTTCTAGAAACATCTACTTGGCCTTTCGGTACTGTAGCAGCTACGACCTTGCCCTTTCAGGTAAGTACCAGCTACGACTTTGACCCTTCGGAAAGTCTACAGCTAAGACCTCTGGACTGTCTAGACTCCTACCCGACAGGTCTACAGTTCGAATCCCCTATACCCTGTAACCTACGACGTCCTACCTACCACTGGCGATCCTACAGGTCGCAGGTTCAACTCTACGGGTTGACACAGATACTGTACACAGGTAAGGTGGGGATCTAGGGATCGAGCCCTGGGATCTGCATCAGCTACTGCGAACTGGTGAATACTGTTTCAGAGAGGGCTACGGTAGTAAGTAGTAACTTGTAACCCATAACTGCTGGAAAGCAAACCTGACTTCGGATCCAAAAGATTTATTGCTGGCCTGCTTCACTCTCCCACAAAATTTGCTGAGCGTCTCTTGAGACATTGGTACACTTGCAGATATACTGCTGGTGTCCTTCGAGAAAAAGATTATTCAGCAAGGAATATGTGGGCCCAATTTTTTTTCTGTGCCCTTCGATAATTTGGAAGGGAGGGGTACCATAGACTACCTCAGCCAGCCCTCTCCAAATTGTTTTTTTTACCCTATTTATTGGTGTGCGCTGCATCACGTGCGCACACATGCTAGTGCATGCGCTATGCACCGCAGGTATGGGTTGGAGTATAGGGGGAGTATAAGGGTGATATAGTGGATTATGGAGGGTTTAATAAGGGTGTTGGGGGCGGTTCGGGGGTGTTGGGGTGGTCTATGGGGGTATTGGGGGCCGCTATGAGGTGTTGGTGGTGTTATTAGGGGTTCTGGACCCCCCCCAAAAAATTAAAAAAATGCGGGGTGCCGATGACCCCCGACCGGTAGGTGCCGACCAGTCAAGGGCCGCCGACCGTCGGCGGGTCCAACACTGGTCAGGATTGTTTATCCCATCTAGAAATTTATTTTTCTTCTTCTTGCTTTTGCCAATGATTTTCCCTGACAGCTCAGCAGCTACTCTATCTCAGTTTTCCAAACTTTCTTTTATGATTTTTTTTCTTTCTGCGAGGATCTGGTTCCTTGGCAGGCCTAAGGGGCCCCGGTTGCAGTGGTGCCCGCCCTAAGTGAAGGCGGGCCTAACATATTACAAGAGGCCTTTCACTGTCAATTTCATATTTGGGGTACAGGCGGTTGTGACGCGCCAGTTGGTTGAGGGAAACACAGGCCGAGCAACCAAGGCATTTCCACGACCTACAGGGCCTTTCCAAAGAATGCAGGCCCTGGGTGTGAATCGCAGCCTCATACACTGACAGTTGAGAGGCCCCACCGAACGAGGCCCAGTAGCTGCAGCGCAAAGGCAGCATCCTGGGGCCTTCCGGAAGCTTCTGGGCCCAGGCCAGTACAGCCAGGCTGCACGAGCAGGCCAGCTCTTTCCATAAAGGAAAGAGCTCTTCCCAGGCAGCCTCATTCAGGCACTCGCATGCTAGTGGCAGCGCTGCTGCGCTGCTGGAGCAAATGCTCGTGGGCTGCTGCTGGCGCTGAGAGGCGAGGTGCAGCACGTGCGGTCGTGCAGGGAAGCAGGGCGCTGCTGAGGGCAGCGCCATGGCCCAGCCACCATAGCTGGTGGGCTTGGACTACAGTGAGGCGCATGAAGGGTCTTCGGGTGTAAGGGAGGAAGATGTGGGTGTAAAGTCAGGGAAGGGCGAAGGATGATGATGATGATGATGTGAGGGCACATACCTTGTATTGGTGATGGTCTGCATTTGAGCGACATCTTCAAGTACTTCGGGTTGCCGCTGATGTCAACAGTTGCATTGTCTATTAGTATGCTGATCGTAGTTGTGTAGGAGTAGGCTGGGCGCTGAGCGCCAAGTAGGAGTGTGAAGGGACTGGACTC